TAGTTTTGCTTTCAGGTAGGGGTGATGGGGGAAATGATTTGTTGTCATTTTTGTTTGTAAAAGTCTATGTACACCCTGGAAATAATCACTGCACGTTCCCTTTGATAGCTCAGTTGGTAGAGCAGAGGACTGTAGGGTTGTAAATCAGAAATCCTTAGGTCGCTGGTTCAACTCCGGCTCGAAGGATGTGTTCTTTGTTGATGTCAAAAAGCTTGCTTTGATTGAATGGATTAGGAATGTCCCTGTCAGCTGCTTTGAAATCTTTCTATGGGAAATGATGGGATTTTGTCATCATTGTGTGTCTGTTCCTTTGTCATTTCGATTTGAAACAAATTGAAATAGTTTTGCTTTCAGGTAGGGGTGATGGGGGAAATGATTTGTTGTCATTTTTGTTTGTAAAGTCGATGTACACCCTGTAAATAATCACCAATCAAGGGAACATGCAGTGTTATTTACAGGGGTGTACATGGATAAACTGAAAGATTTCAAAGCAGCTGACAGTTTATCCATGGGAAATGATGGGATTTTGTTTGTAAAAGTCGATGTACACCCCTGTAAAATAATCACTGCACGTTCCCTTTGATAGCTCAGTTGGTAGAGTGGACTGTAGGGTTGTAAATCAGAAGTCTTAGGTTGCTGGTTCAACTCGAGCTCGAAGGATGTGTTGTTTGTTGATGTTCAAAAGCCTGGTTTGATTGAATGGATTAGGAATGTGCCTGTCAGCTGCTTTGAAATCTTTCAGTTTATCCATGGGAAATGATGGGATTTTGTCATCATTGTGTGTCTGTTCCTTAGTCATTTCAATTTGAAACAAATTGAGATAGTTTTGCTTTCAGGTAGGGGTGATGGGGGAAATGATTTGTTGTCATTTTTGTTTGTAAAAGTCGATGTACACCCCTGTAAATAATCACTGCATGTTCCCTTCGATAGCTCAGCGGACTGTAGGGTTGTAAATCAGAAATCCTTAGGTTGCTGGTTCAACTCTGGCTCGAAGGATGTGTTCTTTGTTGATGTCAAAAAGCCTGGTTTGATTGAATGGATTAGGAATGTGCCTGTCAGCTGCTTTGAAATCTTTCAGTTTATCCATGGGAAATGATGGGATTTTGTCATCATTGTGTGTCTGTTCCTTTGTCATCTCGATTTGAAACAAATTGAAATAGTTTTGCTTTCAGGTAGGGGTGATGGGGGATGTTCCCTGTCCCCTGTCCCCTGTCATTTTTGTTTGTAAAAGTCGATGTACACCCTGGAAATAATAACTGCATGTTCCTTCGATAGCTCAGTTGGTAGAGCGGAGGACTGTAGGGCTGTAAATCAGAAATCCTTAGGTCGCTGGTTCAACTCCGGCTTGAAGGATGTGTTCTTTGTTGATGTCAATAAGCCTGCTTTGATTGAATGGATTAGGAATGTGCCTGTCAGCTGCTTTGAAATCTTTCAGTTTATCCATGGGAAATGATGGGATTTTGTCATCATTGTGTGTCTGTTCCTTTGTCATCTCGATTTGAAACAAATTGAAATAGTTTTGCTTTCAGGCAGGGGTGATGGGGGAAATGATTTGTTGTCATTTTTGTTTGTAAATGTGGATGTACACCCCTGTAAATAATCACAGCATGTTCCCTTCGATAGCTCAGTTGGTAGAGCGGAGGACTGTAGGGTTGTAAATCAGAAATCCTTAGGTCGCTGTTTGAACTTGAGCTCGAAGGATGTGTTGTTTGTTGATGTCCAAAAGCCTGGTTTGATTGAATGGATTAGGAATGTGCCTGTCAGCTGCTTTGAAATCTTTCAGTTTATCCATGGGAAATGATGGGATTTTGTCATCATTGTGTGTCTGTTCCTTTGTCATCTCGATTTGAAACAAATTGAAATAGTTTTGCTTTCAGGTAGGGGTGATGGGGGAAATGATTTGTTGTCATTTTTGTTTGTAAAAGTCTATGTACACCCCTGGAAATAATCACTGCACGTTCCCTTTGATAGCTCAGTTGGTAGAGCAGAGGACTGTAGGGTTGTAAATCAGAAATCCTTAGGTCGCTGGTTCAACTCCGGCTTGAAGGATGTGTTCTTTGTTGATGTCAAAAAGCTTGCTTTGATTGAATGGATTAGGAATGTCCCTGTCAGCTGCTTTGAAATCTTTCTATGGGAAATGATGGGATTTTGTCATCATTGTGTGTCTGTTCCTTTGTCATTTCGATTTGAAACAAATTGAAATAGTTTTGCTTTCAGGTAGGGGTGATGGGGGAAATGATTTGTTGTCATTTTTGTTTGTAAAAGTCGATGTACACCCCTGTAAATAATCACCAATCAAGGGAACATGCAGTGATTATTTACAGGGGTGTACATGGATAAACTGAAAGATTTCAAAGCAGCTGACAGTTTATCCATGGGAAATGATGGGATTTTGTTTGTAAAAGTCGATGTACACCCCTGTAAATAATCACTGCACGTTCCCTTTGATAGCTCAGTTGGTAGAGTGGAGGACTGTAGGGTTGTAAATCAGAAGTCCTTAGGTTGCTGGTTCAACTCGAGCTCGAAGGATGTGTTGTTTGTTGATGTTCAAAAGCCTGGTTTGATTGAATGGATTAGGAATGTGCCTGTCAGCTGCTTTGAAATCTTTCAGTTTATCCATGGGAAATGATGGGATTTTGTCATCATTGTGTGTCTGTTCCTTTGTCATTTCGATTTGAAACTAATTGAAATAGTTTTGCTTTCAGGTAGGGGTGATGGGGGAAATGATTTGTTGTCATTTTTGTTTGTAAAAGTCGATGTACACTCCTGTAAATAATCACTGCATGTTCCCTTCAATAGCTCAGTTGGTAGAGCGGCAGACTGTAGGGTTGTAAATCAGAAATCCTTAGGTCGCTGGTTCAACTCCGGCTCGAAGGATCTGTTCTTTGTTGATGTCAAAAAGCCTGCTTTGATTGAATGGATTAGGAATGTCCCTGTCAGCTGCTTTGAATTCTTTCTATGGGAAATGATGGGATTTTGTCATCATTGTGTGTCTGTTCCTTTGTCATTTCGATTTGAAACAAATTGAAATAGTTTTGCTTTCAGGTAGGGGTGATGGGGGATGTTCCCTGTCCCCTGTCCCCTGTCATTTTTGTTTGTAAAAGTCGATGTACACCCCTGGAAATAATCAGTGCATGTTCCCTTAGATAGCTCAGTTGGTAGAGCGGAGGACTGTAGGGCTATAAATCAAAAATCCTTAGGTCGCTGGTTCAACTCCGGCTCGAAGGATGTGTTCTTTGTTGATGTCAATAAGCCTGCTTTGATTGAATGGATTAGGAATGTGCCTGTCAGCTGCTTTGAAATCTTTCAGTTTATCCATGGGAGATGATGGGATTTTGTCATCATTGTGTGTCTGTTCCTTTGTCATCTCGATTTGAAACAAATTGAAATAGTTTTGCTTTCAGGTAGGGGTGATGGGGGAAATGATTTGTTGTCATTTTTGTTTGTAAATGTGGATGTACACCCCTGTAAATATACACTGCATGTTCCCTTCGATAGCTCAGTTGGTAGAGCGGAGGACTGTAAGGTTGTAAATCAGAAGTCCTTAGGTCGCTGGTTCAACTCCGGCTCGAAGGATGTGTTCTTTGTTGATGTCAAAAAGCTTGCTTTGATTGAATGGATTAGGAATGTCCCTGTCAGCTGCTTTGAAATCTTTCTATGGGAAATGATGGGATTTTGTCATCATTGTGTGTCTGTTCCTTTGTCATTTCGATTTGAAACAAATTGAAATAGTTTTGCTTTCAGGTAGGGGTGATGGGGGAAATGATTTGTTGTCATTTTTGTTTGTAAAAGTCGATGTACACCCCTGTAAATAATCACCAATCAAGGGAACATGCAGTGATTATTTACAGGGGTGTACATGGATAAACTGAAAGATTTCAAAGCAGCTGACAGTTTATCCATGGGAAATGATGGGATTTTGTTTGTAAAAGTCGATGTACACCCCTGTAAATAATCACTGCACGTTCCCTTTGATAGCTCAGTTGGTAGAGCGGAGGACTGTAGGGTTGTAAATCAGAAGTCCTTAGGTTGCTGGTTCAACTCGAGCTCGAAGGATGTGTTGTTTGTTGATGTTCAAAAGCCTGGTTTGATTGAATGGATTAGGAATGTGCCTGTCAGCTGCTTTGAAATCTTTCAGTTTATCCATGGGAAATGATGGGATTTTGTCATCATTGTGTGTCTGTTCCTTAGTCATTTCAATTTGAAACAAATTGAGAGAGTTTTGTTTTCAGGTAGGGGTGATGGGGGAAATGATTTGTTGTCATTTTTGTTTGTAAAAGTCGATGTACACCCCTGGAAATAATCACTGCATGTTCCCTTCGATAGCTCAGTTGGTAGAGCGGCGGACTGTAGGGTTGTAAATCAGAAATCCTTAGGTCACTGGTTCAACTCCAGCTCGAAGGATGTGTTCTTTGTTGATGTCAAAAAGCCTGCTTTGATTGAATGGATTAGGATTGTCCCTGTCAGCTGCTTTGAATTCTTTCTATGGGAAATGATGGGATTTTGTCATCATTGTGTGTCTGTTCCTTAGTCATTTCAATTTGAAACAAATTTAGATAGTTTTGCTTTCAGGTAGGGGTGATGGGGGAAATGATTTGTTGTCATTTTTGTTTGTAAAAGTCGATGTACACCCCTGTAAATAATCACTGCATGTTCCCTTCGATAGCTCAGAGGACTGTAGGGTTGTAAATCAGAAATCCTTAGGTTGCTGGTTCAACTCTGGCTCGAAGGATGTGTTCTTTGTTGATGTCAAAAAGCCTGGTTTGATTGAATGGATTAGGAGTGTGCCTGTCAGCTGCTTTGAAATCTTTCAGTTTATCCATGGGAAATGATGGGATTTTGTCATCATTGTGTGTCTGTTCCTTTGTCATCTCGATTTGAAACAAATTGAAATAGTTTTGCTTTCAGTAGGGGTGATGGGGGATGTTCCCTGTCCCTGTCCCCTGTCATTTTTGTTTGTAAAAGTCGATGTACACCCCTGGAAATAATCACTGAATGTTCCTTCGATAGCTCAGTTGGTAGAGCGGAGGACTGTAGGGTTGTAAATCAGAAATCCTTTAGGTCGCTGGTTCAACTCCGGCTCGAAGGATGTGTTCTTTGTTGATGTCAAAAGCTTGCTTTGATTGAATGGATTAGGAATGTCCCTGTCAGCTGCTTGAAATCTTTCTATGGGAAATGATGGGATTTTGTCATCATTGGTGTCTGTTCCTTTGTCATTTCGATTTGAAACAAATTGAAATAGTTTTGCTTTCAGGTAGGGGTGATGGGGGAAATGATTTGTTGTCATTTTTTGTTTGTAAAAGTCGATGTACACCCCTGTAAATAATCACCAATCAAGGGAACATGCAGTGATTATTTACAGGGGTGTACATGGATAAACTGAAAGATTTCAAAGCAGCTGACAGTTTATCCATGGGAAATGATGGGTTTTGTTTGTAAAGTCGATGTACACCCCTGTAAATAATCACTGCATGTTCCCTTGATAGCTCAGTTGGTAGAGCGGAGGACTGTAGGGTTGTAAATCAGAAGTCCTTAGGTTGCTGGTTCAACTCGAGCTCGAAGGATGTGTTGTTTGTTGATGTTCAAAAGCCTGTTTGATTGAATGGATTAGGAATGTGCCTGTCAGCTGCTTTGAATCTTTCAGTTTATCCATGGGAAATGATGGATTTTGTCATCATTGTGTGTCTGTTCCTTTGTCATTTCGATTTGAAACAAATTGAAATAGTTTTGCTTTCAGGTAGGGGTGATGGGGGAAATGATTTGTTGTCATTTTTGTTTGTAAAAGTCGATGTACACCCTGTAAATAATCACTGCATGTTCCCTTCGATAGCTCAGTTGGTAGAGCGGAGGACTGTAGGGTTGTAAATCAGAAATCCTTAGGTCGCTGGTTCAACTCCGGCTCGAAGGATGTGTTCTTTGTTGATGTCAAAAGCCTGCTTTGATTGAATGGATTAGGAATGTGCCTGTCAGCTGCTTTGAAATTCTTTCTATGGGAAATGATGGGATTTTGTCATCATTGTGTGTCTGTTCCTTAGTCATTTCAATTTGAAACAAATTGAGATAGTTTTGCTTTCAGGTAGGGGTGATGGGGGAAATGATTTGTTGTCATTTTTGTTTGTAAAAGTCGATGTACACCCCTGTAAATAATCACTGCATGTTCCTTCGATAGCTCAGTTGGTAGAGCGGAGGACTGTAGGGTTGTAAATCAGAAATCTTAGGTTGCTGGTTCAACTCTGGCTCGAAGGATGTGTTTTTCTTGATGTCAAAAGCCTGGTTTGATTGAATGGATTAGGAATGTGCCTGTCAGCTGCTTTGAAATCTTTCAGTTTATCCATGGGAAATGATGGGATTTTGTCATCATTGTGTGTCTTTCCTTTGTCATTTCGATTTGAAACAAATTGAAATAGTTTTGCTTTCAGGTAGGGGTGATGGGGGATGTTCCCTGTCCTGTCCCTGTCATTTTTGTTTGTAAAAGTCGATGTACACCCTGGAAATAATCACTGCATGTTCCTTCGATAGCTCAGTTGGTAGAGCGGAGGACTGTAGGGTTGTAAATCAGAAATCCTTAGGTCGCTGGTTGAACTTGGCTCGAAGGATGTGTTGTTTGTTGATGTCAAAAGCCTGCTTTGATTGAATGGATTAGGAATGTGCCTGTCAGCTGCTTTGAAATCTTTCAGTTTATCCATGGAAATGATGGGATTTTGTCATCATTGTGTGTCTGTTCCTTTGTCATTTCGATTTGAAACAAATTGAAATAGTTTTGCTTTCAGGTAGGGGTGATGGGGGATGTTCCTTTGCCTGTCTGTCATTTTTGTTTGTAAAAGTCGATGTACACCCTGAAATAATCACTGCATGTTCCCTTCGATAGCTCAGTTGGTAGAGCGGAGGACTGTAGGGTTGTAAATCAGAAATCCTTAGGTCGCTGGTTCAACTCGGCTCGAAGGATGTGTTCTTTGTTGATGTCAAAAGCCTGCTTTGATTGAATGGATTAGGAATGTGCCTGTCAGCTGCTTTGAAATCTTTCAGTTTATCCATGGGAAATGATGGGATTTTGTCATCATTGTGTGTCTGTTCCTTTGTCATTTCGATTTGAAACAAATTGAAATAGTTTTGCTTTCAGGTAGGGGTGATGGGGGAAATGATTTGTTGTCATTTTTGTTTGTAAATGTGGATGTACACCCCTGTAAATAATCACTGCATGTTCCCTTCGATAGCTCAGTTGGTAGAGCGGAGGACTGTAGGGTTGTAAATCAGAAATCCTTAGGTCGCTGGTTCAACTTGAGCTCGAAGGATGTGTTGTTGTGATGTCAAAAGCCTGTTTGATTGAATGGATTAGGAATGTGCCTGTCAGCTGCTTTGAAATCTTTCAGTTTATCCATGGGAAATGATGGGATTTTGTCATCATTGTGTGTCTGTTCCTTTGTCATTTCGATTTGAAACAAATTGAAATAGTTTTGCTTTCAGGTAGGGGTGATGGGGGATGTTTGTTGTTGTCATTTTTGTTTGTAAAAGTCGATGTACACCCCTGTAAATAATCACTGCATGTTCCCTTCGATAGCTCAGTTGGTAGAGCGGAGGACTGTAGGGTTGTAAATCAGAAATCCTTAGGTCGCTGGTTCAACTCCGGCTCGAAGGATGTGTTCTTTGTTGATGTCAAAAAGCCTGCTTGATTGAATGGATTAGGAATGTCCTGTCAGCTGCTTTGAATTCTTTCTATGGGAAATGATGGATTTTGTCATCATTGTGTGTCTGTTCCTTGTCATTTCAATTTGAAACAAATTGAGATAGTTTTGCTTTCAGGTAGGGGTGATGGGGGAAATGATTTGTTGTCATTTTTGTTTGTAAAAGTCGATGTACACCCCTGTAAATAATCACTGCATGTTCCCTTCGATAGCTCAGTTGGTAGCGCAGAGGACTGTAGGGTTGTAAATCAGAAATCCTTAGGTTGCTGGTTCAACTCTGGCTCGAAGGATGTGTTCTTTGTTGATGTCAAAAAGCCTGCTTTGATTGAATGGATTAGGAATGTCCCTGTCAGCTGCTTTGAATTCTTTCTATGGGAAATGATGGGATTTTGTCATCATTGTGTGTCTGTTCCCTTGTCATTTCAATTTGAAACAAATTGAGATAGTTTCGCTTTCAGGTAGGGGTGATGGGGGAATTGTTTGTTGTCATTTTTGTTTGTAAAAGTCGATGTACACCCCTGTTAAATAATCACTGCATGTTCCCTTCGATAGCTCAGTTGGTAGCGGAGGGACTGTAGGGTTGTAAATCAGAAATCCTTAGGTGGCTGGCTCGAAGGATGTTGTTTTGTTGATGTCAAAAGCCTGGTTGATTGAATGGATTAGAATGTGCCTGTCAGCTGCTTTGAAATCTTTCAGTTTATCCATGGGAAATGATGGGATTTTGTCATCATTGTGTGTCTGTTCCTTTGTCATTTCGATTTGAAACAAATTGAAATAGTTTTGCTTTCAGGTAGGGGTGATGGGGAAATGATTTGTTGTCATTTTTGTTTGTAAATGTGGATGTACACCCCTGAAATAATCACTGCATGTTCCTTCGATAGCTCAGTTGTAGAGCGGAGGACTGTAGGTTGTAAATCAGAAATCCTTAGGTCGCTGGTGAACTTGAGCTCGAAGGATGTGTTGTTTGTTGATGTCCAAAAGCCTGGTTTGATTGAATGGATTAGGAATGTCCTGTCAGCTGCTTTGAAATCTTTCAGTTTATCCATGGGAAAATGATGGATTTTGTCATCATTGTGTGTCTGTTCCTTTGTCATTTCGATTTGAAACAAATTGAAATAGTTTTGCTTTCAGGTAGGGGTGATGGGGGATGTTCCCTGTCCCCTGTCCCCTGTCATTTTTGTTTGTAAAAGTCGATGTACACCCCTGGAAATAATCACTGCATGTTCCCTTCGATAGCTCAGTTGGTAGAGCGGAGGACTGTAGGGTTGTAAATCAGAAATCCTTAGGTCGCTGGTTCAACTCCGGCTCGAAGGATGTGTTCTTTGTTGATGTCAAAAGCCTGCTTTGATTGAATGGATTAGGATGTGCCTGTCAGCTGCTTTGAAATCTTTCAGTTTATCCATGGGAATGATGGGATTTTGTCATCATTGTGTGTCTGTTCCTTTGTCATCTCGATTTGAAACAAATTGAAATAGTTTTGCTTTCAGGTAGGGGTGATGGGGGAAATGATGTTGTCATTTTTGTTTGTAAATGTGGATGTACACCCCTGTAAATAATCACTGCATGTTCCCTTCGATAGCTCAGTTGGTAGAGCAGAGTACTGTAGGGTTGTAAATCAGAAATCCTTAGGTCGCTGGTTGAACTTGAGCTCGAAGGATGTGTTGTTTGTTGATGTCCAAAAGCCTGGTTTGATTGAATGGATTAGGAATGTGCCTGTCAGCTGCTTTGAAATCTTTCAGTTTATCCATGGGAAATGATGGGATTTTGTCATCATTGTGAGTCTGTTCCTTTGTCATCTCGATTTGAAACAAATTGAAATAGTTTTGCTTTCAGGTAGGGGTGATGGGGGAAATGATTTGTTGTCATTTTTGTTTGTAAATGTGGATGTACACCCCTGTAAATAATCACTGCATGTTCCCTTCGATAGCTCAGTTGGTAGAGCAGAGTACTTTAGTGTTGTAAATCAGAAATCCTTAGGTTGCTGGCTCGAAGGATGTGTTGTTTGTTGATGTTCAAAAGCCTGGTTTGATTGAATGGATTAGGAATGTGCCTGTCAGCTGCTTTGAAATCTTTCAGTTTATCCATGGGAAATGATGGGATTTTGTCATCATTGTGTGTCTGTTCCTTTGTCATTTCGATTTGAAACGAATTGAAATAGTTTTGCTTTCAGGTAGGGGTGATGGGGGAAATGATTTGTTGTCATTTTTGTTTGTAAAAGTTGATGTACACCCCTGGAAATAATCACCAATCAAGGGAACATGCAGTGATTTTTTACAGGGGTGTACATGGATAAACTGAAAGATTTCAAAGCAGCTGACAGTTTATCCATGGGAAATGATGGGATTTTGTTTGTAAAAGTCGATGTACACCCCTGTAAATAATCACTGCACGTTCCCTTTGATAGCTC